GCAAGAGCTAAGGGGACAGTCACCTACAAAGGAGTCCCCATCAGACTGTCAGCAGATTTCTCAAAAGAGACCTTACAGGCAAGAAGGGGCTGGAAAGAGGTATTCCAAGTCATGAAATCCAAAAACCTACAACCAAGATGGCTCTATCCAGCAAAACTTTCATTTAGAATGGAAGGACAGATAAAGTGCTTCTCAGATAAGATCAAATTCAAGGAGTTCATCATCACCAAGCCCTTATTATATGAAATGTTAAAGGGACTTATCTAAGAAAAAGAAGTTAAAGAAACATGAACAGTGAAAGGACAACAAACTCACAGTTATTAACAACCACACCAAAAACGAAAGCAAAGTAAAAGGACAGCTAGATCAGGAGTGGAAACATAGAAATGAAGATCTCAAGGAGGGTTAGCAACAGGGGAGTGGGAGGAGGAGATGGGGGGAGAAGGTACAGAAAATAAGTAGCATAGACAGTAGATAGAAAATAGATGGGGGGGCAAGAATAGCACGGGAAATATAGAATCTAAAGGAATTGAGACACATGGTCATAAACTAAAGGGGGGATAACGGTGGGGATGGGGGGGTAGGGTGGAGGGGAATGAAGGGGGGAATAGAACAACTGTAACAGCATAATCAATAAAAAAATTTTAAATTAAAAAATAAAAAATAAAATTATAGAACTATACATCCATATAGATTTTTCTAAGTTTTAGTCTGTGCCACTAACATGATCTCTTACAAAAGGTAACACATGTATTCGACATTCTTATAGTACATTTATTGTGGCTCCAGAGGCCAAGTACTGGGTCACAATTTCATTCCAACTTCCAAGGGCCAATTCTGGGGCTGAGTATCCTGTTGGATTATTTATAACAGTGGAATTAAATCACCAGGTTTGGAGGGCCTTGGCCTAGCTTCAAATTGCTTTGCAATGATTATAATAAATATTGAGTCTTTTGAATTCCTCCACTATTCTGTTTAGTGGAGTCATCAATAAAAAAAAAAAAAAAGAAATGAGCCATCAAGCCAGGAAAAGACATGGAGGAACATAAAATACATATTACTAAGAAATCGATTTGGAAAGTCTCCATAATGTATGATTCCAACTGTATGACATTCTGGAAAAGGCAAAAGCACAGAGATGGTAAAAAGATAAATAATTGCCACGGGTGTACGAGGAGGGATGAATGGGTGAAGCACACAGGACTATTAAGACAGTGAAACAACTGTCTATGGCACTGTAGTGGTGGACATGCGTTTTTATACATTTGTCAAAACCCACAGGTGTCCTGGCTGGTGTGGCTCAGTGGGTTGAGCGCTGGCCTGCAAACCAAGGGGTTGGTGGTTCAATTCCCAGTCAGGGCACATGCCTGGGTTGCTGGCCAGTCCCCAGTGGGGGATGCTTGAGAGGCAACCACACATTGATGTTTCTCTTCCTCTCTTTCTCCCTTCCCCTCTGTCTAAAACAAACAAACAAACAAACAAAAACCCACAATGCACTTAATGTAAACCATGGACTTTGGGTGATAATGACGTGACCACATGAGTTCATCCACTGTAACAAAAGCAGCACTCTGGAGCGGGTGTTGATAGTGAGGATGCTGTGCGTTTGTACGGGCGAAGGGGACGTGGGAAATCACCGTATTCTCCATTCAATTCTGCTGTGAACCTAAAACCACTCTAAAAAATAAAGTATTTTTTAAAAATCTAAATGTTGGCATGGTCCTAAAAAGTTAACAGGTTTATTTATATAAAGTTGAATTACTAAAAAAAATTGGGAAGCCTGTGCATGAGGATATTTATACATGATTAATGGCTGACATTTCATGAGTTTACCACGAGGCTGAAGGGGAAGAGATCCTCTCTGGGAGTGGAGGGTCAGCAAGGACTCGGGCCCTTCCCTCCCGCCAGGCTGGGGAGCTTAAGCCAGTTGCCTGGCCTTTGTGCTTCACCTTCCTCCTCTGTGAAATCCGAGAAATAGGGTACTGGACAGTGACTAACATTTAATACTGTAAATATTGAGCTGGCTAGTTCACGTGAAGTGCTGCAAGCTGTGCCTGCTGCAGTGTGTACCGTCTACGGGTTTGTGCACAAGACACAATAACAGACGTGCCCTCGGATGCTCACTGGCTGCTGGCGAGCGAGCGGGAGGAAAGCGTTGGGCAAGCGTTAGTGTTCACTGAGAGCCGTGTTCTTCCAGGTGCTCCATCGGTGGTCCCCCCGCTGAGAAGTGGGAACGGTCCTCCCAGATTTACACAGAACTGGGCGCTCACAGTGTTCAAATGATTTGCCCAACAGAATCACATAGCCCGGTGGGAGTGACTGAGCCAGGATTCGAACTGAGTCTCCATAACATCAGACTCAGCCCCACTCTTCCCACTGTCCTCTGCCAGGTTCCGGGTACCCCAATTACCAGTGAGACAGAGGGCCATGTCTCCATCTTCAGCAGCCAGCTTGGAGGTTGGGGACACGCAAAGAACATAGGGCAGTTCTCTGTACCCGAGAGAGGCTGTGTCGGGGTCTGGATACTGCACTTGGCCTCAGAAAATGCGGTACAAGTCCCAGGGCACCCACTACCAGTTGTGTGGCCACGGGCAAGTCACTTCACCTCCCTGTGCCTCCGGTTCTTCATTTGTCAAATGGGGATAATAACTGTGTGGGCATTGAAGGAAGAAACAAATCTAGGAATATCTAGCAAGCGGCTGGCAGACAGAGCATGCCCAGCTCCTGGTTACGAAATGGGACGCACCACAGTTACCTCCCATCACCAGGAGTGGGGGATTGAGACAGAACCAGGCCTGCGGCTCAAAGCTCCCCTCTCCCCATCGTGTCACTTCCTTCAGGAAGTGGGGATTAGAGTACCGTCCCCTACTCAGTGCCCATCAGGGAGGGAGTCCTGAGGGAGCTGGAGGTCCCTCCCTAGCAAGCTCCCCACACACGGACGCACCTCCTTCTACACAGCCCTCTGCAGGGAGGTGCTCCACTGTGTGCTCTCCGACATTCTCCAGGGCAAGGCGGAGACCACAGCTGTGGTCCAGCTGCAGAACCCAGCCCAGCCCACTGGCCCCGTGCCAGAGACAGGAAGCTGGGAAGAGCTGTACATGCCTGCTGGACGCTGGGGCAGGGTGGACACCAGGGGATGGAGCCAGGCCAGGCCTGCTGAGTGCATTGTTCGGAAAGGACTGTCCAGGGGAGCTCTGCAGGGCCACTGTCAGCCTTGGTTGTCTGGAAGACTCTAGGGATAAGAGGTGAGGAAAGAGCACTGGGTGGTAGTCTGGAAACCTGGTTTCTCAGGTGTGAAACTAGAAATATTTATTGAGCTCTTTGGGGCAGATGCAATTCTAGGGAATACGCTAGCAGGCAGACAAAGTCCCCTCTCTCCTGGAGCTTTCATTCTACCAATAAACAAGCAAACAGGAAAAGTGATAAGGTCTGTGAAGAATAATCAAGTGGTGTGAGGGACAGAGAATGAAGGGTCTGGGATGGCCCTTCTGAGAAGGGATGAGTTAGCAGAGGAAATAAGGGAAGGAGGAAGGGGGCTGTGTGAATATCTAGGGGATGTACGTGTTGTGCAGGGGGAGGAGCAAGTGCAAAGGCCCTGAGGCAAGCAGAGGAGGCAAAGTGAAAAAACAAACTCAGGAAGCAGTAGGGAGGGAAGGGAATGCGTGAGGGAGATAAAGGCAAAGGCAGATAAGAATCCCTCTCACTTGTGGACCTTTAGGGCTGGTGTTAAGGACTTTGCATTTTACTCTGAACTGATCAGTGGGACTCAGGAAATCTGGGCGGGACTTGGGTACAGAGTCCACCTAGTGTTGTGTGTGTGTGGTGGGAGGCAACTTCCGCCTCTGCTCATTTCCCCGTAGGTCCTGGCCAGGACCTGCAGGAAGAGAGCAACAGACCGGGACCAGGTGAGGCGTGTGAAGCCTAGAGTGAGCAAGGCCCTTGGCTCAAGTGTCAAACTGAAGGGGGCATCAAAAACCTAGTCACTAAAACAAATTTTCCAGCAATATATCTAAAAAACAAAATTAATACTCCCCACATCCATGATGAACTAACACTGTCAGTAAAGACAGGATCTAACTCTGAACTTGCCTGACCCTATCCCACTCACCTCACCCTAATCTGGGTCCTGGTCACATAAAGCTTCATTTATAAGAACAGGCAGCTGAATGGTGAGGCTGCAAGCCAATGCTGACTTGGTGGGTTGTTTTTTTTTTAACTTTTGGATAACAGTGTTATATATTCTGGCTCCCTGCTCAATACTGCACCCCCGACGAATGCCCCACCTACCTCACTTACCCAGGCCTCTAACCCCCGTCCTGGATACCAGTGAGATGACTGGGTCCCACACTGAGGGCCCCATCACCCCTCCTGAGGCTCAGGGAGGGGAAGGGACTCCCCCAGGGGCTGGGATCTGAACCAGCTGGGCCAAGCCCCCGGGCCTGACCATCACACCCTACCATGCTCTGTCCCGGAATATTGTTTTTAATGAGTGTTGATTTTTTAAAACTTTTATTCAAGTGTAATCTTCACACCAAAAGAGCACACAGAGCTTCAAGTTAAACTTGCTGAATTTTCACAAAGTGAGCACACTTGTATAACCAGCATGTGGGATTAAATTTAAAGCATATTTTACATTTCCAACAAACCAGACATTTTAGTTAGTACCGGGCCAGACTCTCAGGGCTCAGAGCTCAAGCCAGCGACTCGGACAGTGAGGCCGGGGAACTGCGCTGATCCCGAGTTCGCGGGCCCTGGACAGAGACTGAGAAGAGGGCGGGGTGTAGCGCGAGGGTCTGTGGTTGGGGAGGGGGCAGAGAGGACGTGGGGGGCTGCCCGGGAGACAGTGTCCACCCCCTGGCGCCTCACTCCACCCTTGGAGTCGGGCGAGGCCCAGCGCGCGGGCCCAGGTAAGCCGGTTAGCACGCCGCGGCCGCCAAGCCCCGGGGCGGGCGTGTCCCGGTGACTCAGCCCCTGCCAGGAAGGGGGAGTCCGCCCCGAGCTCCCGGACTCCCAGACGGCAGCCGGACCGCGGCTGGCTCCCGGGATGCCAGGCTAGGCCCCCGCAGCAGGCAGCCGGCCCCGGGAGCGGGACCCCCTCCTCCCGGCCCGGGACCCCCGTTCCGGCCGCGGCCACCTGGGCTCATCTCGGGGACCCGGGCCCGGGAGGCGAGAGCGCGGCGGGCGCCGCGGGGGCCACGCGAGCCTGACGGAGACGGAGCCGCGAGGGCCTTCGAGCGCCGTGAGTAGCGACCGCGCGGGCGGGGAGAGCCCCTCGCTCGGCCCCTCGGCCTCCGGCGTCCGAGCCGCCCGCCCCCACCCCCTGCCTCCCCCGGACCGGGAGAACTGGCCTGGCGCCGCCGCCTCCCTAATTGCTCACTGGCCCCGGTGGCGGAGAGCCCAGACGCGGCTCCGCGGCGGCCCGGTCGAGTGTGGCCGAGACGCTGTCATCCCAGCGGGCGGCCCCACCGGGCCATCCTCGCACGGAGCCGCCCTGCCCCAGCCGGCCGGCCTTAGGGTCCTCGAACCCCCGCGGGCTGCCCGATGGCGGCTTCCTTCCTCCCCGCACGGCCCGCAGGAAGGAGCGGCACGCAGTTCCAGATGTGCCGCCCAGCTGTCCCCGCCTGGGAGGGCCCCTTCTCGCCCCTTCCCCCCGCGCTCCCGCAACTTGGAAGGCCTTGGATTCCAGGCCAGAGCCAAAAGAAAGGCTGAACTCGGAGAAGTTCGTTTCGCCTCCAAAGTTGCTTTTCTGACCCAAGTTCCCACGCGCAGCTGGCGGGGGACAGGGGCACTGGGGGTGCCCGGGACTGCTGGCGGGCTCGGGAAGCTGCTAGTCACCAGCCCGGTTTCCCGGAGGGGCGACCTCTGGCCCGGTGGGCACGACGCCTGTGAGCCCCTGACCCCGGGCGTCCGGCTTAGGGCGCCGAGCGAGGACGCAGCGGCGGGTGGGCAGAGGGTGCCAGAGGGGCTTGACCCCTCCCCTCTGTGGGGCAGGGAGCTCTGAGGGCCCCAGTTATTCAGACGATTAGCCCGAGGTGGTTGTAGTCACAGCGCTTTCTCTCGCTGGTTCTGCCTTTCCTCAAACTTTTGCAGCGTTTCGGACGGGCGAGCGCGCAGCCCCCTCTGCAGCCCCGCGGGGCTCTGGGCCGGGGCGGGGGGCGGAGATTTGGGGAGATGCGGGCCCAACTCTGCCAGCGCGGAGGAAACGCGCGGAGCCAGCTTCCTGTGGGGGCTCGGGCCGCGGCGCCCCGCGGACAGACGTGTCCGGCCCAGGCAGCGCCGAGCCCCGCGCGGGGGAAGGGAAGCCGCGGCGGGGCGGGGCGGGAATCGACGGGGACGACGAGGAGGGGACAGGGAGAGGGTGGGCCGGGGAGGAAGGGAGGCGAGAGGCGAGCAGGGGAGGAGCGCGGGGGCTGGAGAGAGAAGAGGAAGAAGGAAGGGGGCGCAGGGCGCGAGCTGGCGCCGAGAAGAGAGAGCGGCGTGAGTGAGAGGGGAGGGGGCGCGGGGCGGGCACCGGGGAGCTGCGTGGCCCCTTGGCGGGGGCGCCTTGGGCAGGCGCGCATGGCAGGCCCCGCGGCGTGATCCTGGAGGGTCGAAAGAGGAGCAGGCAGCTTGCACGAGTAAGTTAGTCGGTGGCCGGACTGGAAGAGGGGGAGGCGCGCGCCTGCGGCTGGATCGCCCCTTGCCAGTACCCCTTCCCCCGCACGCAGAAGGGTAGGTCGGCCCGGCCCGCTGAGCTCTCTTTTTCGCAGATCCCGGGCCGATGTCCCAGGTGAGTGGCCAGCACCCCCCTCATTGCGACGCGCCTCATGAAGCCCCGAGCGCAGCCCCGGACCCAGGTACGAGGGGCGGTGGAGAGGAAGCCTGGACGGGAGTTGGGTAGCGGTCCGGGGTGGGTTAATTTCCCCCGCTTCTCGCTGAGACTGGAGGAACCGGTCTCGGGGAGCTTGGGTGGAAATAGGGGCAAGGGGTATGGCTGTCGGGGACGGGGTCCAAAGAGAATGGAGCTCTGGGGTGATGGGGGCAGGGCCCGAACGCAGGCGGTGCGCCAAGTTGGCTCTAACACCCCCCACTCCCAACACCAGACACACACACACACACACACACACACACACACACACACCCGCAGTGTCTGTCTGTCCGACTGGGATTTGTGTCCCAGTGGTTTCTGCCCAGTGTGTAAATATTTATGGGGGCCTCAGGCGGGGGTGGGGGTGTCTGAATCTTAACTTCCCTTCCCCCACCCCAGCCAGAGCCCAGCGCTTCCCGAAAACTTTGTCCTCCTAAAGCGACCACAGGACGCGGCCCCTCGCCTACTTGCCTCCCCTCCTTGCCATCTGTCTCCCTCGCCTTCCTCCCCACCCGGGCCTGGCCAGTCCCGGCTGCCCCTACCCTGCTCACACACGCCCCTTCTCTTAACTCACAGGGCCTGCAACCTCCCAGGATTCCTGCAGGAGACTCCCTAGCGGGGAGGATTTGTGGCTCCCTGAGGTGGGAACGCTGGGGGCTGCGGCTCTCAGTCCTCCTCACTGTGCAGACAGGAGCTGACGCTCACAAGGAAACGCAGGGTCAGGGAGAAGTCGGGAACTTCTGGGGTTTGTGGCGGGCACAAGGCTGGGGTGCAAGAACACCGCCCACATTTCATGACTTGAACCCTAGCTCCAGGTCCGTCTAATTCTCCTGCCTTCTCCTCACCCACCCCCACTCTTTGATTCTCTGAGTAATGACGGTCTGGTCCTAGACCTCTGACACAAATTCCCTGCATGGCCTTGGACAAGTTCCTTCCCCTCTCTGGCCCCAGTGTCCACGTCCGCCCGTAGGGGCCTGTCTGTCTGCCTGGAGAGGCCTGACTCAGCTCCCCACGTCTACCTGTGAGGAAGATGGCACTCTGGTCACCGGGCTGTGGAGTGAGGACAGGTGGAGATGTCTGGCCAAGGGCCAGCACATGAATGACAATAATGTGTCTGCTGCCCGACCCCGCTGACCCTCAGAGTCTCTCCTCTCTGTGGGCTTTAGAGCAGGGTCTTCTGGGGAATAACCCCCTTAAGGACTGGGCTTCTGCCGCCTGGAGAAAGCTGCAGGTGGGGGCTGGGAAGGCTTTCTCTGTGTCTGGGGACTTCTCTCTCCTCCTCAGCCTCTCTCGCCCTTCTTCTCTCTCTCTGCCTCCAGTTTCTCTCCTAACCTCCCACTTCCCTGCCTTCTAACTCTGCTTATCTGTTCTCTCTGCTCCCTCCTCCACCGCCTCTTTCCAAGATCCTCTGCCCGTGCTGCCCGTTCCGGCCCCAAAGGGAGAGGAGGGGCTGAAACGTGCTGGGGCAGGGGACCGGGGCCAGGTGGGCCGCTGGGAGGGTTAAGCCCTGGGTTGTAACTTGAGGCCCCCAGTGCTCCTGTGAGCCCCCTCCCCAGGCTGGGCCAGGCCAGACAATGTGGCTTTCATAACACGAGGAGGCCTGGCTCTGCCGTCTTAGGAGAATGAGCTGCTGCCCAGGAAGCCCAAACCGCAGGGGACCCAGCCAAAACCCCACAGACGCCTGAATCTGGGACCAGAGTCCCCCCCACTCCCTGCTGGGCCCTGACAGCACAGCAAGGCCAAGGTGCTGCCACTGGGGGCCCTGCTGGCCGGACAGCCAGGGAGCAAGTCAGCCTCTCCCTCAACCTAGAAGATGAAAATGGGGTGAAGGGGACTCAGGGCAGCTCTGGTTGGGGCAGGTGGCCAAGCCCCCACACCCTTGGCTCCCCCAGTGGCCTCTCCCCAGAGCCTGGCTCCCTAAACCACCGCAGATTTCACTGGGGCGTCACATTCCTGCTCTTGGTTCTAAATTGAATTTCCTGGGGAATTGGAGCCTTCAGACCTAAAATAAAACCAACCCAGCCCAGCCTAGCTGGCCAGCGCAGGCCCTGTCTCCCCAGTCGTCAGCCTGGTGGCCTGGGACTGTGACCAGTGTGTCACAACTAAGTATCAGAGTCCACATTCTCACCTTCTTGGGGCTCAGAGCCAGGTGCCACCCCCCGTCCTCGCCATCACAGCCTCTCTCCTCTGACCTGGGCCCTCCAGAGCTCCGGAACTCAGTCCTCACCAGCAAGCGTTTGCGGAGGGCCCACCCCAGTGCAGAGATGAACGCTGACACCACCCCAAGCGAGCAAGCCAGGGAGGCTGCAGTCTGTGGAGCCAGGACGTCACTACCAAGTTATAATTGACAACAGGGGGTGCTCGTGCTAAGTTCTCAGTAAGTGGGCCACTCAGAGGAGGGACAATCGGCGCAGGGGTCAGGGAAGGTCCTACCTCTCTGGAGGAAGAGGTTAAACTTGACCTGGGTTATGAAGGATGGGTTGGATTTGGAGAGTGGAAGAAGGGAGGGGTAGGACCTTCTGGTCAAAAGAAACAATCTGAGCATGGGCGGGTTGGCCAGAGAGCCTGGGGCCATGGACGTGTCGGTCTGCCTGAAACGTGGGATCCTCCTCCGCTAACCGGGTTGAAAATCTAGACTGAGGCCTCGAATATCAGACCGACATCAGTCACCACTCTCAGAGCAGGTCGGATCCTCGCCCTCTCTCTCCGGAGATGGTCAGAGCTCCAAGGGCAAAGCCCAGATCCACAGTCCACAGAGTCAGTGCAGAAGTCTGGGTGTGAGGGACCAGGCACTGGGGCTTCAGAACAGACCCCGCGGGCACTTCCCAGGCTGGGAGTGAACCCCTCCCACTTGGAAGAGGCTCCCCCACTTCTTCTCGATCCAGGAGTACCCCTTGACTTGGTGGACAGCAGGCAGAGGGAGCCCGCAAGGTCCCTACTGAGACTGTGGGTCTCTCACCCTTCGGTGAATTTAAACATGAATTTAAACATGATTTTTCCAGTCTCTTCTGGGGCATTGACCAGCACCTTATCCTGTCGTGGAAATGAAATCTATCAAGGCAAAGGGGCTGTTGCCTTTCTGTATGTCCCACTTACAGATGGGGATTCTTGAGAGAGGTGCAGGGCGGGGGCGTTTCTCAGACATGCCGCCAGCATGTATGGCCTTCTGTGCACATTAGGAAAAGATGGCCCTGTGGTTACACAGCGGGTGTGCAACTGGCTGGGCCCATGGCAGCTCCGGGAGGCCGGGCCACCACGAGGGTCTCCAGGCTCACCCCTGCCCCTTTGGTGGGGCCTTTATGGAGAACGGGAATTGTGCGTCCACGTGGCAGCCCTTGGCCTTTGCTAGGCAACCTTCTCCCCAGCCCACTCCACATTTCTACCCTCTTGGACATCCCTCCGGGGGTTTTCCTCAGAAATGTTCTCCCTTTGGCGCTGGACACAGGGTCTCATAGTCACAAGAAGGAAAACTAAGCTCTTTCTGTCTCTTCTCGGTTGAGCACCTGGGTTCCCCCTCTTGTCTGGCTCTTTTGCTCCATGTGCCCTGGTGAGCGCTGCCTCCTGGTCCAGCATCTTGGCACCGGGCCCCTCTGGGCAGCCTCTCATTCACAGATCAGGCCTCCCTGCCACTTCTGTTCCTCCTCACTCTGTTTGCTGGTCTCTGGGCGCTCAGCAGTTTCCTCACCTGCCCTCAGCATGGTTCCCCAGGCAGCTTCTGGGTCTCCTCCTCTGCCCCTCCTAACCCCAGGAGGACTGTTCCTTTGTGTTTCCAGGTCAAGATGCCTGAACTGGATTCTCTTTCCTGGTTTCTTTTCTAGAGGTCTAATGCTCACCCTAGAATGGCTGCTCATGGTCTGTGCTCTCTATAATCTTCTGCTCCCTCCAGACTCGAGGTCGACAGCCCTCTCTGTGACTATTAGAAAAGACTGCCCGGAGAGTGGTGACACTGAGGGGGGGCAGAGATGGGAACCAGCCTCCCTAGGCCCTCTCCCGCCTTCCTCCCTCTCCAGCCCTGGCAGCCCAGAGAGCTGCGATCTGACCCCTTCTACTGCAGGACTGACAGAGTCACCCAGTGCACCCTGTGACCTCAGGGGAAGGCCGGGGGAAGTGCCCACCTGGGCGCACCAGGCCCCAGCTATTGTTCTAGGTGTACCGGCCTCAACAGCACCGTGCGCGTGGTCATTTCCCTCATTCATGCTGCAACTTTTCACCCTGCAGTCTTGGTTGCTGCGGCTCCTCTTGAAAAGGTCTTTTCTGCTTTTTTGCTGACTTATTATCCGAGCTCCAACATGGACACTGCCTTCTCCAGGAAGCGTCCTAGTGTGCACATGCACACACCCCTGGGATAAATGCCCATTTTCTGTGCTTCCCAGTTCTTGGAGATCTCCCTGCTGTCATTCCTGCCCCTTGGTGTGTGTGGCTGCTCTGCACCTAACCCTCAAGGAGAATTCCTGAGGCAGCGACCTGTCTTATCTGGTCTACCAGTGCTTGACGTTACAGATGTATTGTAGCTGCTTAGTAAATGTTGAACCTACCATCACAGGAAAGGAGGAGGAAGGGAGGGCAGGCAGGTGGGTAGGTAAATGGGAAGGGTTCCCGAATGGCCCCTGCAGGCCAGGACACTGCTGAGCATGTCATTCCTCTCTGAAACCCCAAGACACGAGTGTTGGGGAGCCCCCTCCTCACACAGGGTGACCCAGGTCTCCGTAACTTGCCCACGCTGGTAACTGGTGCAACCCCGGGCTGTGTCTTACAGCTTCTCCCTCAGGCCTTTTCCTCTCATCCCAGTTCAGGCTGGAGCTGGGCAGGCTCACTTCTTTCCAGGGAGTTAGGACCCAAGCCCTCAGCCTCCCTCCCTCCCTCACTTGCAACCTGGGTCTTAGCCCTGAAACTCTTGTGCAATCTGCTGCAGACTAGGAGAGCCCCATCTGGCATCACTCCTCCCCGGGTGTCATCTCCGCTTGCCTGGCCCCCACCCCCCTTCCCAGCTTTGTGATCTTTTCCAAAAGCCATTGACTTCTTTCTCCTTAACCCAGGCGGTGACCATGCCCAGCCCCCCTCTCCACAGGCACAAAGCACGGCAGGGCTGGAGGGAACCCACCCTGTTTCCATGGAGCCCCGATGGGCACCATGAGAGGTTCTCAACACCTAACTCCGGTGTCCTCCGGAAGTCGCAGGAGCCCCAGCCCCTTCCACCTCCCAACCTGGCTCCTGCCTCCTTGGAAGAGCTGTGGCTTCTTTGGGCAGGCATGAGCATGTCTGCTCAGCCTGCTGCTCTGGGTGCTACTCACCTGGGGCCTCTGGGGTCCCTGTCCTCCTGGTCATGGGAGACCAGGGTCTTTGGAACAAAGATTGCACAGGGGTCTCTGCGGGTCAGAAGCCGCAGAGGGATGCTCAGGGCCCCGGGAAGCAGCTGAGCCCAGGGATCGTGCCCTCCTTCAAGACACCCCATCCCTTCGACCTGAGTGCCCAACCTTCATGACCTCCCTCCTCTCTTGTTCCCGCCCCACCATTTGGAGACAGCTTAGAGAAGGGCCCCACATGTAAGGTCCTCTGTCCTTCATCGCCGACTCGTTTCTATTTCCAACTCCAGTCGGCCTCTCTCTGTCCCTCTGCAGGCCTCTCTCCCAGTCTCTGTGGTGCGTGTGTGCAGCTGAGGGTGTTCACGGTGCGGGTTTCCCGTCCTTTCTGTCTCCCTGAGACCCTCTCCTCCCCCTGTGCCCTTTTGGTGTCTGGGTCCCTCTGAGTGTCTTGTCTCTGTGTCTCTCCCAATATGGCATGTGGGGACACCTGGTTGAGGCCCCTGTCACCCTGACTGCACGCCTGAGGTCTGATGGAGAGGTTCAGACTGCACCCCGCACCCTCTCATTGCCCAACCTCGCCCTTGGCCCTGCGACCCCTACTTTCACCCTCCTGCTCCCTGTCTCGCCGCTGCCTTCCCACGCCCAGTGACTGGGGGTGTGGGAACCGGGCGCTTTCTGCCTCCCTCCTCCACCGCCCATCCCCCTAACCTTCCCCCTGGGCCCAGGGGGCCCAAATCCGAGTCCTGCCGCCCCGGGAGCTGTGGGTTTGAAGGTGGCTCCGTTCCTTCCTTCCGCCCACCATGCAGCGCGGGCTGAGTTGGTCACTGTAATTACATGTGGCTGCGGCCGCCTCTTCCCAGCCTCTGCCCTCTCCCTGTCTCCCCTCCGGCCCAGAGCCCCTCCGCCCCAGGCCTCAGCCTTCGCCTCACCCCAGGCTTCCTCTGACTCTTTTTCTCGCTATCATCCTCTCTCCCCGACCCAATTTCTCACTGTCTGTCTCTCTCTCGCTCTGTCTGTATCATGTTTGCCTCTCTTCGCCTCTGCCTCTGCCCCTGTCTTTATCTTTCTCCCCATCGCTAACTCTCACTCTCCTGCTGAGTCTCTCCTGTCCCGCGCTGTCTGTCACTGGCTTTCTGGGACTGTCCCCTTCCATGCCCAGCACCCCCCCCCCTTCTCATGCTCCATCTCTCTTTGCTTCTACCTTCCACTGTCCCTTTGATTCTTCCCCCCGCTGTCACTCTCGGCGCCTGTCCCTGCCGCTGCATCGCTGACCACCCATCTGTTCTTTCCTGCACCATGTTTCTCCTTCCCCTCCTGACACCGCACACGCACGCAGGCACACGCGTGCGCAGGCACACACACACACACCCTTGCTCACTCACACGCTGTGGTTTGGGAGTCTATTTTGGAGTCTGGCACTCTTGCCAGATAGGGTAAAGTCTGGGTAACTGTACGAAGAGACCAAGAATGAGGGCTCAAGGCATTTTGGGCTGCAGCAAGGGGACCAGGGCAAGGCAAGCAAGAGGGTGCCAGGAAACTACCGCGGCCGTCTGCTTTTTCCCCTAGCCCAGACCCCACCCCTCCTGCCTGGGCTGGAGGTAGGAACAGGACCCACTCACCCTGTGGAGGTAGTGCTGGAAGAGGGCTTCCTGGAGGAGGCGGCACCCTCCATGCCCCAAGGCAATGACCCTGGGGCCCCCCAGGTCCTGGACAGCACTGACCTCGATGTCCCCACAGAAGCTGTGACACGTGAGTCCTAGAGGCCCAGAGGGTTGGGGTGGTAACAAGTAGGGGTTGCACTGGGGAATCCAATTGAGATGGGCTTGCGAAACTGCAGTGGGTGCCCTTGAGGACCTAGCACAGGGCCAGGACCTGGAGGTGTGGGCAGTGGAGAGGCACGTGACATTGTCACTGTCCTTTCTGTCTGGGGAGAAGGTCTCCATGTACAAAATGATTAGTATAAAATTGGTTCAAAGTGAGTGTGCACGGGCTCCAGGCAACATGGTTCAGGACGAGAAAGTGTGAGGCTGTATGGGAAGGGGTGCCCTCCCCTCAGGAAGAGAGCGGGGGACTGGGGAACGGGCTGGCACGGCACCACCCTTCAGGGCGTCCAGGGCAGAAGAAAGGAGACACTCCTCCCCACGGCAGAAAGGGGCAGAATTCAGCTCCATTCCTAAGCTTGGCTCCAGGTCCCCAAGGAGGTCCTGGGAGGGAGAGAATTCTCCACCCTCACCCTCAGAAGCACGGAAGGGGCAGTCAGAATTGTTTTGTAACTACTAATAAGACACCTCAAATCTGTAGACACAGTTGGACTTTACAACGTTCCTTCCCCGAATGACCCCACGTGCTCTGTAAATCAGCCTGCAGCGAGGCAGCGTAGCTACCACGAAACCCATTTTACAGATGAGGAAACTGAGACAAAGAGACCTACTCACCCTGGACTTGAGCTGGGGGACTATGGTCTCCTGACCCAGGGCTCTTTCCTGTGCCTTTCTGCCCGGCTGGCACGCTGAGCAGGGAGCCGCCCTCAGGCAGGGCATCTGGGGCGAAGTTGGACTCTCTGGAAGTCAGGGTTACTAAACCCTGGTAGCACACTGCCCTCAGCCTCCTCCAGACACGCCCACGGGCAGCACTGAGAGAAAGAGGTCAGCACAGTGGCCGCAGAAGAGGGGCCTGGGTGGGAGTTGGACAGTCACTCCTGTGTCTGGGGGCCTTAAGTGTTTGCTCTGTGACTCAGTCCCCACGGTCACTTCTCAGCTATGGCCACAGGCAAGCTTTGTGTCTGCCCACACCCCCCAGGCCTTCAGCTCACCACACAAGCCCGCCCTCTGGTCTCTGTGCCTTGTTTAGGCAGCAGGGCAGGGGGCACTGAGGTTGGCCAGGGATTCAGCCCAGTCACCCTCATGGGGCCAAGAGGTGGGTCGTGATGATTCAGGCCTGGCGGCTTCCCGTGGCCTTACCCTGTTTACCCAGATGCAGGCACCAGCCACGCCTCAGGGGAGAAGGCTTCCGGCGTGGAGCCTCTCCAGAGGCCTGTCTCCCGCTGTCCCCTGACTCCCCACCTGTCCTCTGTTCCTTATTCCAATCTCTACCCCACACCACCCCTGCCTTTTTCAGTTGTGGAAACTTGGCAAGTTGTAGCCTCCTTGGGCCTCAGTTTTGTCATCTGTTAAATGGACCTAATAATAGATCTATTGTGATGCTTGAAGACATTACTACACATGAAGCTCTCTGCACTGTCTGGCACCAGTAACAGCTCAAAACATGTAAACTGCTAGTTGTGAGTGTAATGATTGTTGTAATAGTAGCAGCTTATTTCTCAGTCCCTTGTCTCCCAACCTCGGCCCATTCCTTACCTCTCTGGCCTCTGAGTCTTAGCTCTTAGCCTCTAAGCTGGTCTACCTCCGACACCAGCTATGGACCTTGGACAAGTCACTGAACCTCTCTGGGATGCAGTTTCCTCATCCGTGAGGGAGGATGCAGCCCCCTAGGTATACTGAGAGGATCCGGTGAGAGAATAATTAGCAGGTCAAAGGCTTAGCCCAGCGGCTGGCATGCAGTAAGTACCCAGTGGCCCAGCAGCAGCCCAGCCCCTCGGGCATGGCACTGAGGCTGCCCCCCACCTTCCTCAGTCTCCAGGCACCCCTCCCCCATCTCCTGCTACCACAGTTCAAACACAGAGGCCAGGCCTGGAAGGAGCTGGGGGTCCATACCCAAGAGATGGAAGTTCCCCCTATTTACAGAGCCCCTCAGGGTCCCAGGCTCCTGCCCAGGTCTCACTCTGGGCAGCTGCGGGGCCCCAGGGCCCTCCATGTCCCCTTCTCAGTCTCCTCACCCAACTCACACACACCTGCCCCATGTCTCCTGAGTAGAACTGTGCCTTTCACACGAGCAAACCTGAGTGAGGTGAAGGAAAGTAGTGGGTGTTTGGGGAGCTCTCCAGGGCCAGCTTCCCTGCACCTCACTGACAAAACTGAAGTCTGGTTCCTCGGTCTGGGATGGGGACTCACAGAGGCTGCGGGGGTTCCAACCTCAGGGCTCTCCCTCTCGCCTGCCTTCTTCTCTCCCTCCTCACCCAGACCCCAGGGGCCCCACAGAGGCTGCCAGGGCAGGGGCGTGGAGGAGCAGGAGATAGAGGGGCTGCAGCACGGAGCCCCTGGATTCCAGAGCCAGGCATTCATCTCCAAACAGATGTTTCTAATAACTCACCCAGCACACGAAGGGCAAAAACAGCTGGGGGCTTGGCAGCGGCTGAAGTGAAGGTTAACTGCTTCGCTGCTGTCCTCCCCACCCCAGCCGAACTATCCCTGTCCCTCCCCTCAACTGCCACCACTCTTGCCAAAATCCCAGGACCCCAAGAGCAGGAGAATGGATTTCATGTGGGGTAAGAAGGTGGGATCCAAGGCTCTGAGCCCCTCTTGCACTTCTGTTTTTCCTTGAATGAGCACTGGCCCGAGAGCCGGGGTGAGGAGCAGGCCCGACCCTGCCGATATTTCCTGGTGTGCCCCTGGGCAAGTCCGTTCTGCTCTCTGCGTCTCGGTTTCCTCATCTGCAGAATACAAATCCAGAAGGTGAACTGTGGGGTGCGTAAGAACAAAGCAGGCAGGAGTAGAGCACAGTCAGGCAGCCCTCCACCTTGCCCCCATCACCCTTTCTGGTCATCTCTCCAGGCCAGCCTCAGGGGAACACCTTGGGCTGCACCCCACTACTGGCAAATGGCTCTGGCCACCCCTCGGAGCCGGGCGGTGCCAGGCGAGCGGGGAACGGTGCCCTGGGTGGCCCCAAGGCCCACCGGAAGTTGCAGGCTCACCCGTCTCTCGCCAGCCAGGGCAGTAAGAAGAGCAAGGGCAGCACCAAGTCTGCTGCCTCCCAGATCCCTCTCCAGGCGCAGGAAGGTAAGTGCCCTGCTTCTCCCTCGGAGGGGCCCCCAAAGCCAGCTTCCTCAAGGCATGACCCGGCAGCAGCATCCTCACCAGGCTTCTGGTCGCGAGTGCAGCCTCTGCCCCACCGAACCTGAGCCTCTGGGTGAGGTAGGAGCCGAGATTTAACAAGACTCCCAGGGTGTCTGACGCAAGACTCAAGTCTGAGAACTTTGCAAAGGTTACTGGGTAAACTGAGGTATATCTGCCTCCTCAAGGCCAACCCCTTTTCATCCCTGTTCTCCCAGAGTTTCTGTAATGAGGAATAGAGCCATCTGGGCTGATCCAGCTTAAGCCACCCTGTTTCTGGAAATTTTCCTCAATGACTGAACCATCCATTTAGTGAGAGCAGAACAAAACGATGCGCCATCACATGCTTAGCTGGGGGTGGGGCAGGGGCTGCAAGGTGCAGTGGGAGGTCAGCAGACTCAGACACACCAGATGCTGTTCCTGTAACACAGAGACCCTCTGCGGGGCCATGCTGGGCAACCAGCTGCCCCGCCCCGCCAGGCATCAGTTCAGCATGGGTCTCGTCTGCCTGTGGCTCAGTGGTGCTTGACCTTTACCCCAGAATTTTTAAGTGATTCCTGTCCATGTTAGGGGACTCTGGCCTGGTCCTCTGCAAACAGGATTCAGCACACACATTTGCACATATGTATTCATAAACTTTCCCACCCTGCAGAGCAGATTCTGCCCTGTTAATTTATGAAAGAGGTATTCATTCACTTGAAGCGTAGTGGGCACTGTGCTGTGTGCTGAGTACCCAGTCCATGGCCTCCTGAAGCTCTCAGGAGAGAGACACAGCAGGTAATCACCATATGTTGTGATAAACATAGTGATGAAGCCACACACAGGGTATTATGAGAACACAGGGGACACCCACTCCAGCCCAGAAAGCCGAGGAGGCAAGTCTGGGAAGGCTCTGGAGGAATCTGAGCAAGGCTTAAGTGTTGAGTAGGAGGATCTAGCCATGAGGGCATTAGCGTAGAGGTGAGAAATGGCTAGTGTGTCCAGATGATAAAGTTCAAGGTGAGAAGTGGTGGGAGCTCAGGGGGCAGGAAGGCAACACCCTGATCCAGATTGCAGACAGATTGCAGAGGTCCCAGCTGTAGAGCCCCACTCCAGAAAGGGTTGGGGAGTCACCCTCTGGCACAAGGTGAGGCTCCCACAGGACCAGCAGCCTGCGCCCAGGCCTCACCTACGGGGGGGAGGGGGGCGCGCGGGCTGGACACTCTGCCCTTGGCCCGGCCCCTGGCATGGGTACCAGCTCAGCATCCTGGCAGCACATTGAGCCTTTCCAGGTGTGAACTCCAGAGCCAGCCTGCCTCGGTTCGGGTCCCAGCTCCATGACTTACTAGCTGGGTGCCCAGAGTTTATGTATTAAGTCACTTACCATTTATTTACCCAGCACCTACAACGTATTGGCCACTGTTCTAGGGACACTATATCAGTGACCCAAACAGACAAAGATGCCTGTCCTTGTGACGCTTACATTTTAGTGGGAGGAGAAAGCTGTGTAGTGCCGTGGAAGGTGCTGAGTCCTCGTGCAGACAGGCAAAGGAGGCCAGGGCGAGGGGCGGGGGTGCTGCGCAGGGACGGGCAGGTTACGTTATTAATGAGTGTGGCATCTGGGTAATGAAGGAGGTGGGAGGGGGCAGAGAGTGTACCTGGAGCAAGAGCATTCCAGGCTGGGAGTGAGGTGGGGGGGTGCTTTCGAGACCAGAAGCCATAGCAGTGATGAGGTGGTGAAGGGGGAACCGGATCCCAGAGGGCCATGGAGGCCACTCTGAGCTTTTTAGGTTTTACTCCCAGTGAGGCAGAAGCCACTGGAGGGAGACGCAGAGTCCCACCAAAGCTGTCCAAGGGGCCCTGCTGTGTGGGGGGTGGGTGGCCAGAGGTGCAGGGTGGGGACCGGAGAGGCAGTGGGGAAGCAGTTGCCCTGGCAGAGGTTAGCCGGTGGGAGGATTCTGGTTACCTTTTGGAGTGACTGACTTCTCTGCCCCAGTTTCTTGATCTGTAGAGGGAGGCTAATAGTAGCCCCATCTCATGGAGTTGTTGCGAGTTTAAGTGAGTTTAATTCATGCCCAGCACTTGAAATGACTAAGGAGGGCCAGGTTCAGGGGCTCAGGATCCAGACTGCCAGGGCTGAACCCTCACTCTGCCGGTTACCACACAGGTGTGTGTGAGTCACTCGCGGTGCCCTAGGAGGGCTCCTCACAGTCCCCACTTCACGGAGCTACTGAGCTCGCTTGCTGCTGAGCACTCAGTGAAGGCGCTGGGGCCGGGTCCCCTGCCCCAGGGCGTCTCACCCTGCTCCCTCTGCCCGCCCACCGCAGACTGCTGCGTCCACTGCATCCTGTCCTGCCTGTTCTGCGAGTTCCTGACGCTGTGCAACATCGTCCTGGACTGCGCCACCTGCGGCTCCTGCAGCTCCGAGGACTCGTGCCTCTGCTGCTGCTGCTGCGGCTCCGGCGAGTGCGCCGACTGCGACCTGCCCTGCGACCTGGACTGCGGCATCCTGGACGCCTGCTGCGAGTCCGCCGACTGCCTGGAGATCTGCATGGAGTGCTGCGGGCTGTGCTTCTCCTCCTGACTCGCCGGGTTCCGCAGGGTCGTCCTAGGGGAGCCGGCCCAGGGGCTGCCACACAAAGCTTGATCAGCCCCCTCCCCTTGGTCCTCCCTCCTCCACCCAGTGACCTCTCAGAACCCAGCCCGGTGTGAAGGGGGGCGCCCCGGAGGACACCTCAGTCACGGGAGCTCGGCCCACTGCAGAGAGCCCGTCCTCCTGCTGGTTACCGAGGACCTGGGAGGAGAGGGTTAGAGTGGGAACCGCTCCTGGCCCAGCTGCCAGGGCCGCGGAACACTGTGAAAGCTGGGGGAGGGGCAGGAACGTGGGGAGGCGGAGCTGCGCGCTTCTCTACCTCTCTGCTCCCGGTGCCCGCCCCCCTCCCCCCCCCCCCGCTGCCGCCCGGGGCGTAGAGCACAGCAAAATGTGAAAAGAGACACCCCACCCTGCCCGCAGCCAAGCCCCTCCCTGGTCTCCTTTCCTGGGCTTTTGGGGGTGGGGTGCTGACCCATGTAGTGACCCCAGCGCAAAGCAGGGCTGGGCTTGGACCTGGGACAGGGCGGGAGGGGGGAACGGTATAGAAAAGACTGGAAGGGGCGAGGGAAGGAATGGAGAGGGGCTGTTCTATTTGTTGCTGTAAATAAAGGTATTTGTTCATTTCAGATTTCCTCAGGACTCACGAGTAACGTCCATGGACTGCGAATGTGAAAAAGCAAACAGTCCCCACAAACCCCCTACAAAGCGCCCAAGTGGATGAGGCTTCCCTGCCCTCTGGGGCCCCTTCCCTTTTCCCTCCCTCGTCCGTGCTTCTCAGCGAGGGGAGGAAGGAAGGGGGGCATCGACTCCTCACCATTATTCCCCTATTCCCGCCAAAGAGAAGGGAAGTCCAGAAAGAGAAGAGTTAACCCTTGGCATAGACTTAATTAACAACAGATGTGTTCAGGTTTTGATTAATTAATCTCCTGCTGACTCCAGCTTCTTGAAGCCCTTCCCAGTGATGGCTCCCCGGCGCAGGGTGGCACCTATTTCAGTGGCAGAGCCATGACTGGGGAGGGGCAACCCTGGTCCCTGCACAGCTGGGGCTTGCTCCTGGGAGGCAGGTACAGCCTGCGCAGGGTCGCATGGCCCGGTTCAGTCATCCTCAATCCAGGGGGCTTGAGGAAGAAGATACTGTCCAGAATGGCAGAAGCCTCGGAGGCCGTGTGTCCACTGCCCTTGGTGTGCAGGCCAGGGGCAGGCCTGAGCGCTGCAGGGCTATCCTGGGGATGGCCGACTCTGAGGGGGGGGAGGGCTGGCTGGGCGGAGCCTCCTCCACCCAGTCCGTGACCTAGAGGAAGCTGGAGGGGCTCAGGCTGAGTGAGTGAGAGGATGTCTCATGGCTGGACTCGGATTCCCCCGAGGAGAAGACGTGGATGAAGGAGGCCTTTAAAGTGGAGGAGACCTTATGGGAAATTGGTGGGCCCTGCTTCTGGGAACGAAGTCTGCAGTGGTCTGGAGGGATTCTGGAAGGAAGGAGGGAGCTCAGAAAAAGGGCCGGTTGAAATCCTAACTCTCTTAAGGAATGTCGTAGGAGGAGTAGCTCATGGTCTTGGCAGTGGGCTGCAATTACAGCAGTGGGAGGTAACATGAGGCGCAGAGAGGGACTCCCGCACTGCCACACCTCTCCTGCCCGCCCACCCCCACACACTGGAGCACAGGCCTCGCTCCGCCAACGGGCTCTCCAACCTCTGGGACCACACAGGAAACTCAGGACACGGTGAGAAAGGGACCTGCCCAGGGTCACATAGGAGCAAATCCAGGAGAGAAGCCCCATCTTCTCAGGCCCCCAATGTTTGTTTATTTGTTTATCTACCTCAATTATTTGCTTAGTTAATTGCATGACCAGAGTACAAGATTCAAGTCTAATCTGTGCATAGATGAACATTTGCATTTCTTTCTTCCTTTTCTTTCTTTTTTTACAAAATCCTGTACACATATTTGTGTGACCATCAGTCTTGGGGATCTCCCTTCTCAGGGCTCCACCGAGGGGTGAGCTGCGATCCAGTCCCTGGCTCCCATTTAGTCTCCCCCACTTATGTCCCTGTTATAAACACGGTTCCAGACGTGTCCTTTGGCACGAGCGAGCTCTATTTAGAATGTTTCTGAAAGTGGGATTGCTGGGCCTCAGCGCCTGCATTTGTGACCTGGATGGGTTGCCCAGTCGCCCGTGGCGAAGGTGTGCCAGTCTGCCGCCAGGGCCTCAGGCAGCTTCTGTGTCCTGAAGAGGACGGACAACGGTGGGGGGGCTCCACCTCAGGTCTTCCTCCCCAAGCCTGGGGTCCGAGGGGCTGAGCCAGGCCAGACCACGAGGGATGTGAGGCAGGGGTGCTCCACCAACCAGAGGTCTGGTCCAGGTGGGCAGGAAGGCCCCCTCCCTGGCCCCCTGCCCTCCGCGGGGACAGGAAGAGGCGCCTCTGCAATCCAAATAGCGGTTTCCTGCTGCAGGCTCCTGCCCGCCTGTTCTCTAAAGGACAGTGGCTGAAACCTGAGAGGCTAAGCGGGGTGGGGGCGGGACAGGGGCAGGATTCAGCCAGCCACCCCCCACCCCCTGACAGACACACACACTCAGACATACTCGCACACTCATATACACAGACACACTCAGATGTCCACACACACATATTCACACATGCAAGTCATTCACCTACATACAGACTTTTCTTACAGTCGCATGTTCACATACGTTCCACAAAATGGCATGCACACGCTCACACAGCACACATGCACATATGAGACCTGTGTTCACTTCCCCTCACGTCAGGCCTGCCCTGCCTTCCACGATGTCCCCACCTCACCCAGGTGGCCCTACTTCCTGCTGGGAAGCAAATGGCATTTGTCTTGAAGGCCACCTCCAGCCCTGTCCAGATATCCTTCCAGAGCAAGCCCTCGTTCTAGACCCTTTATCTCCACTCCATGGCCCTTTGGTGACTCTCAATCTCTGCTTTCCAACCGCTGGTCTCAGCCAGTTCCAGCCCTGGCCCTGCCTTGGTCCTTAGGGAAAGCCCTTCCCCTCTCTGGCCTCAGTTTCCTTATGTGTACAATGGAACAGCAGTGACACTGGCGATCTGGTGGTGGCCACATGTCCGGGGAAATAGGCTGCCGCTCTGGTTTTCTTTCATCTATGGAGCCCCAGACCCACCCCTGTCACCCAAGAGACGTCTTGAAGGGCCACCCTCAGGTCTAACCCAAAACGGGCATTAATCACCACGCATGGGAGGAGAAGGCGGGGAGGCCAAATGGAGTTGTCCTTGGCCCGGTCTGCCAGTGAGCACTGGGTGATCTTGTGTGCCAGCTCCAAGGGATTTTGCCCCGTGACCGAGCAAGTAGCTGAGCCCAGGGCAGCTTGTGAAGGGAGTGGTCCGCCCGCCCCTCTGCCTCCTCCAGCTTCTGCCTCACGTGGGCACATCTCCTCCCCGACATTCTCTGTGCTCCTACCCAGAGCCGGCAAAGCAAGCTGCAGGCTCTACCACCCTCTAAGCAGCCTGAAGCTGGATTGCATGCAGCCAGCCATGCTTGGGGGCCTTCACCAGTACCCCCCAAACCCGGGAGCTGAGGGCTGCTCCTGGAGGCCCTCTGGACACTTGCTGCAGACACTCCGCATTATTGAGAAGCAGGAAGGCAGAGTGGACATGGCAGCTCTCAGGACTGGCCCTGTGCAAAAAGGGCTGGGGACAAGGCAGGGACAGGAACCTCAGGCCACGCATGGGGCAGCAGATAATCACCCCAGCCATTCCCTCACCTTCCTTCTCCTCCAGAGGAAAGCCCCTTCCCAGCCTTCCTTGCCCCTCACCTGGTTTCACTACCTTCCCCTGACCCTGTAGCAGCCTCGATACCCAGGATTCCTGCCGTCTCCGTGGCTGCCTCTCCCTGGCTTACAAACTCCTTCCTTCCTACTGCAGGCAGGTGGTGGAGCTGGGAGCAAGGGGGTGTATTCACATGCCGTGTCTACCTGGCACTTCTCAGTTTTGCCACCCCAGGGGTCCAGGAAAGGGGCTAAGGCTCATCCCTGGGCCAGTCACCATGCCAGCAGATAAAGAGCTACAATGGGCCAGGCCTCTATGGCCAGGCCGATGGGCTTCTTGACTGGCCCTCCAGAACCATGTGGAATCAGGGGAGGAAAGCTCCCCAAAGAAGTAGGGGTGCCATAACAAAGGTGGGGGGACGGCTGGCAGACTAAAGCAACAGAGGTCACTGTGGGGTCAGACTACCACGGGTGGTCCGGAGCGGGTGCCTGGGTTGGGGAGGGCTGCCTGGAGCCTCAAGCTGAGTACAGCTCAGGGCGTTTGGCTGGAGAAGAGACGTCAGGGCAATGGCCGTCAGCCACCTGCAGTTTGGGAAGAGAGCAAGGCTCATTCTCAGGCTCCAGCTAGACGTAAGACCAAGAAACAGACATAACAAGGAGGGAGCTCCCAGCTCCAGGCAGGAGAGACCACCCTAATGGTGAGAAATGTCCCACGTGGAATGGACCACGGCAGTTGGGGGGCAGGTGCCGCTGTTCAAGGACGGTTCTAGGGCAGGGGGTGTAGTTGGGGTCGCTGCCCTGAGGTTGATGGGTGGCAGGGAGGAAAGGTGGTAGAGGGTTTTTGCAGGTGGCCCCACAATTTTGACCTTCCATGGCCCAGGGATGCTGGCAGTGACTGACAAGTGGGAGATGGAGATGGAAGGTGGGTGGGGGCAGAGTGAGATGAAGAAAGGGAGGCAGTCGGGAAGGTGCAGGCCATGCATCCCTAAGGCCCTGGAGACGGACGAGCAAAGCGGGCGGATGTCCCCCAGCTCCTCCCAAGGTCACCGGCAGAGGGCCGTGGTGCCCCAAGCCTGGGTCCCTCCCAGGCCTGGAGCCTCCCCAGCGCTGGGCGGCTTGGCATTAATTAGGGGCCCGGCTAATGGCTCGGAAGATTGGCCAGTTCCAGGGACGCTGCTGAATAGAGACCTCGGCGAGATTTATTCCTAATTATCTCATTTGTCTCCCCCCATTACTCTTTATGGCTGGGATTTATGGGGCCATTAGTGGGGCCTGGCCAGGCCAGGACGAGTGTGAGCCTTGAGATACTTCATAATAATAACAATAACAACGCTCACCCTGACCAGATTAATGGGGGATGTGCCTTCTCGCCCTCTCCACCCCCTGTCCTTGGGACCCCAGGCAGCCGCTGCCCACATGTCCCTCTCCCTTCTGGGACCCTTGGTTCTCAGCCACCTCTGGAGTTCAAGCCTGCTGCCCCCCTCTGCCTCCACTGCACCCCAGGCCTGCCTCTTAGCCCTTCTGCGGGGCCACGGATTGGGAGCTTCAGGGTGGTAGCGCATAGTGTGGGGATGTCGATTCCAACAGCTGCACCTCTGGGACCAGGTCTGTATGGTAATTGATGGGTCTCGCAGACAACCCAAGTAAAGGTGGCTTAATCTGTGAGGACATGTATCATCTCCTTAACAAGAAGTGCAGAGGTAGGTGACCCCGAGCTGATGGGGAGAGTCAAAGATGTCATCCTTCAGCTCTGTCACCCTCAGCGTGTGGTCCTTGTCTCCCCTCCTGGTCACAAAGTGGCTACTGAAGCCCCAGCCCTCAAGCGCACAC